ATTTTTTGAGATGGAATCTTGCTCTTTTGCCCAGGCTGGAGTGCAGTGACACGATCTCGGCTCACTGCAACCTCCACCTCCTGGGTGCAAGCGATTCTTCTGTCTCAGCCTCCCAAGGAGCTGGGATTACAGGTATGCACCACCACACCCAGCTAATTTTGCATTTTTAGTGGGGACAGGGTTTCACCATGTTTGCGAGGCTGATCTCAAACTCCTGACCTCGTGATCCACCCGCCTCTGCCTCCCAAAGTGCTGGGATTATAGGTATGAGCTACTGTGCCCGGCTACTTCTGCCCTTTTGTAATCTCATCTCCCCTGATCTAAAAACATAATTGACATTGCATCCTCTCCTCACTCCCAGCATAAAGCTTACACACCTCATGGGGGTGTTCAGGAGGTTGCATGCTTGGCTCTGTGTGCCCCCCGACTCTCATCCTTCCCGTCCTCCCTCAGCCCACATTGCCCTAGCAACTTTGGCCACCCTTCCTTTTCCTCAGCAGCTTTGTACCAGATGCTCCATCTGCCTGGAAGCCAGTGCCCCCAGGTCTTCACCCAGCTGTCAACTTCTGCCCTCTGGGGATTAGGACACCTGGTGGTTTCCTCCTGGGAGAGTTATTCCCTGTCCACTCAGCCCAAAGCCCACCCTGGCCTCCACCCTCAGTCCACCCCATCCTCTGCCTCTCCCCTACGCCTTGTCCCCACCTCACTCCTTCTCTACAGGATCTAACAAGAGTCATGCATTGAGTTTAGTTATTATTTCCCTCTCTTATTTTTTTGAGACAGAGTTTTGCTCCTGTTGCCCAGGCTGGAGTGCAATGGCATGATCTGGGCTCACTGCAACCTCCACCTCTCGGGTTCAAGCAATTCTCCTGCCTCAGCCTCCCGAGTAGCTGGGATTACAGGTGTGCACCACCATGCCCGGCCAATTTTGTATTTTTAGTAGAGATGGGATTTCACTGTGTTGGCCAGGCTGGTCTCATTTTGACCTCAGGTGATCCTCCCACCTTGGCCTCCCAAAGTGCTGGGATTACAGGTGTTAGCCACTGTGCCCCAATGTTATTTCATCCTATTGTTTGGGACAGTCAATTAGTGACAATCAATGTTTTGTAGAGTCCAGGATAGTTGCATTGTGGAGTTTCTCCTGGATTTGTCTGGTTGTCTCTTGAGGAGCAGATTCAGTTGAAGTGTTTTGGGGGAGCACACAGCTCAGTTGATGCTGTGTTTTCCGCTGCCTCTCTGGGAGCTGAGCACATCATGTCTGGTGGTCCCACTTTGGAGGCTACTAAATTGATCACTTGGTTGGCAAGTGTCTGCCAGGTCGCTCCATTGTGCAGGTACATTTTCTCCTCTGTCATTAATAAGTCATTTATGGGGATAAATCTTTTTGTCATGCTTTGAAATGCTTGAACAGTGTCTGCTCTGGTTACACTAAGATCCTGTTTGTCCTAATAATAAACAGCAAACCGGAGTCCCATGGCCGGGTCTCCACTTGTGGGACATCTTGCTTGGTAAAGGAAACTGCATCAAAGGAGTTGCTGCTTAAAAAGCCCCATCAGAGCATATGCCAATCATCTGTTTACAAAAGCACCCAGTGTCTTCAGAGGCTGGAGGGGACATGTGGCAGCATTGCTCCCCTGAAGCAGATGGGAGTAGCTTTCTCTGCCATGGCCTTCCACTAGGCTGGGGCCAGAAGAAGGGACATTTCACTAGGAGAATTCGTGGTCAAGAAACTAGGTCACTGGATTCGTCCTTGGGACTCATGCTGTGGCCACTTTAAGGAGGCGGGGGAGTGGCACAAGGACACTGGAAACAACCTGCAGAAGGTTACACCAGGAGTGGCAGCTCCTGTGGGAATAAGGATCTGGGAGGTTTCCGAGCGCTTTCAGTGTACACACATGAAAACTCACCTAATTTGCAGTGCTGCTCAACAGCCAGGTTTCTGCAGGGCTCTCAACTGTTTTCTGTTGGTTGAGCAGAGCTGCCCTGTTTTATCTCCCGGATGGTAAATGAGTTCACATTTCATGCCTAGAGAAAATCACTGCTCTGCCCTCCTGGGCGGTACTAGCTCTCTTTTATTAGTCAGAGAAGAGGTGGGTTATCTGGGTTCAATGCCACCTTTGAACTTCAGTTGGATTTGGCTTTATATTTCAAGCTCAGATGTCCACCACTGCTGTGAAATAGTAATTCAGGCCAGGAGAAGTCAAAGGTCTCTGGAAGTGTGGTGGGGAAAGAGGGAAATCCTGAGCCTGAATTCTCTCATTTTCATAGTGAGGATGGACAGTTCCCGTGGTGGAAACACTCCCATTTCCTGGATCAACTTAAGAACTATGGCCACTAGTTTGTTCTAAAAATCATGCTTGGGCACCAACACGTTTGGATAAATAAAGCCTCCCACCTGCCCCACACCACTGAGGATGAGATCTAGTAAACCTTGGGATAGTGAATTGCTGAAAACATACTTGATTTCAGGAATAAAAGGTGCTAATGAGTAATATGCCTAAACCCTTTTTTAAAAAGAAAGTGCGAGTTTTCTATTGACAGCAGAATCTTTAGCATGTGCGGAAGGGAGGCTGCGTGGTGTTAATGTGATGTCTTGTCATCGTTTTATTTTTCTGACGCGTAAATGCTGGGCTCCGAACCTGTGGGCTTGTACTTCCCACTCGCGGCTGTAGAGGGAGCCTTGTTTACCACGGATTGTTCACAATGCGAAGCTTTCAGAGGAAGAAAGAAAAAGGCTTTTTACAGAAAAAAAGTTGGAGGGTTAAAGGCAGTCTGTCTCAGAATTGCAAACAATCGCGGTGGCTGTCCCGTTTTCTCTTCTCTGCTGCTTCCACCGTGAATGAATGGTAGCGTAAAGAGTCAATAGAAATTGCCCTTCCTCTTCGGATGCGACCGAAGGAATCAGGAGGTGGGATCGTTATCGGGTTTTTTTTTTGGCGGGGGGCGCAATTTCCCCACAGAATTCCACGAGGTCAGCTTCCCATCCTTGTGGAAGCACAAGCTTTTTTTTTCGAGGCTCATCTGTTGTAGCGGAGGGTCTGGAATTGGATGGTTAGGGTGGGAATGGGGTCCCCTGACCCATTTTCTCCATCGGGGTCTAATTCTACGGTTTGGGGACGAGTGTGTTGCGTCTCGGGCCGAGTCCGAGGTTGCTCGGAGGTCCAGGGCCCCCACCCGGCGACGCCCGTCCGGCCGCCTCCTGCGCCCGGGGCGGGGGTCGGTCCGCGGGGAGGAGGACCCCGTCTGGTCTCGGTGTGGCCGCCCTCCCCGGCGGTGCGGTCTCTGCGGACGGTGCGTGCCTGGGTCTGGGCTGGAGCGGCGTCCCCGAGATTATCCTATTACTTTATTACAACTGTGGCTCGCGCGCCGTCAGGACCCGGCCCCGTGTGGGCTTGCAAAGCACAATGACCGGCGGCGGGGGTGGGCGCGCGGGCGCTCGGGGTCGCGGAGATGTTTGGGTCGAACAGGTGAGCGCCGCCCGGACACTCGGGCGCCCGCGGGGGGCGGGGAGGAGGGCGGAGGGGGTGTAAACTAAGTGGTGGGAAAGAGACAAAGGAAGAGTGAAGAGCGAGACGGTGCGGATGGGGGAGGGGGAGGGGCGCGGAGGGGCAGCCGGTGGGCAGCGCGCCGAGGAGCTCGAGCTTGAACTTGATCAAGCACAGGGGGCCCTGCAGTGGGGGTGGGGCGGGGGCGCGGCAGAGAGCCGGCCACGTGCCTGCCTTTCCCAGCCCGGGGTCTCGCTCCAGCCGCCCTGGGGAGCCGAGCCCCGGGGCCCGGCAGCCCCGCCCCACAAGTACCCGCGTCCCTGGGGACCCGAGAGAACGCGCCGGGGTCGAGGGCTGCCCAAAGGGCCGGGGCGCCGAGAGTTCCCGAGGGCGCCTGAGTCACTTTCTTTGGGCCAAGTCTCCCTTTCCCGGCCTGACCGCAGACAGCCCGCCGGGTGCCCGCTCCCCCCAGCCCCCACCGGACCAGGAGACCGCGGCCTCCGGGAGCTAGGGGCAGGCACAGATCCCACCGCCTTCTTTCCGCGCTCAGCCTCCCGCAAGGATCTTCCTCGAAGCGCTTCCCCCTTAAGAGCGCGCTCCCCACCGAAGCGCTCGGCAGCGCGTCCAGCGCGCCCTTATCCCCCACTACCTGGCCCAGCGCCCCCTCCTTCCTCCTCCTCTCCCCCCGCGCCTCTATCCCTCCTTTCTCCTCTCCCCTCTCCCTGGGTGCCTCCTTTTCCTCTCTCCTCCTCCCCCCGTGCCCACTCCTCCCTCTCACCCGCCCCTCCGCCACCTCCTCCGGCTGCTCCTCCTACTCCCCCTGCTCGCGCCCTCCCTACGCTCCCCTCCCTCCGGCCCCCGCCCCGTGCCCGGTCCCGCCCCCCTCCCCCGCCTCCCCGTGCCGGTGCCCCCTCCCCCTTCCTCCGGGCCGCGCCGCCGCCGCCGCAGCCGCCGCTGCTCGCCTGGGCCCTCCTCCTGGCCACCCCCGCCCCCGGGCCGGGCAGTGACGCGCCGCGGCGGTGCCAGCCCCTCTCCCCGGGCGGCCGCGGCGGCAGCAGCAGCAGCAGCTGGAGCTGTGGGGCTGTCACCGCCGCCCGCCCCGCTCACTCGCGGATCCCGACCGCCCATCTCCGCCTCGCCTCCCGCCCAGGTACGGAGTCCGGCCCGGATCCCGGCGACCGGGCCGTTTCCGGGGCCCCGGCCGCCGCCCCCCTTCTCCGGCTGCAGCCGCCGGCCGTTGAGCTGCGGTTAGGGGGGCGGGGGGGGCTGGAGGCGGTTCTGGGTAGGGGGGCGCAGGAGGAGCTTCCTGTGCTGGGGCTGAGGACGGGGGCGCGGGGGAGCGGCTGCGCCCTGGGCGGAGTGGGCTGGGGCGGGGGGCGGGCGAGTGTGGCCGAGAGTGGGGGGGGGCGATGAAGGCTGCACTGTGGGGGCCGCGGGGCGCCCGAGAGGTGTGCCTGGCCCGGAGCGCCCGGCGTCGCCGGGCGCACCCCACTCCGGGGTGCGCACCGCGGGTCCTGGGGGGCGGTGATTGTGCGCGTCGCGCCGCGGTATTGTGCGACGGCCGCTCGGGGTGCCGCGGGCTGGGCACCGCGTCCCTGGGAGGGAGGCGTTCGTTCGCGGCGGGGTGGGGGCCGGACTCTGGTTGCAGCGGCCGCCACGAGAAGGGAAGTGGACTGTGTTTGGGGATGCGAGGACGGGAAGCGTTGAGTGGCAGGGAGGGGTTCCCCGGCGCGGAGCGGCGCGGGTAGTTGAGACGCGGTTTGCAGAGTTGAGCCCACTTCGGCAGGCCCGGGTCCCTCCCGGGAGGGGACGGGGTGTCACTCTCAGGTGCACCGTCTGACCAGAAGCCGCGGGCGTCGGCGGCCCCTGGCGAAGGGGCCTTACTTAATGAGGGGACACTCGCGGCTGGGGCAGCCAGCCGGCTCGAGGGCGCGCGCAGGGGTTAAGTTGGATTTACACCTCCGCCCTCTCTCTCCTCCTTCCCACCTAGTCCTCGGGCTGGACACTTTGGCCTGGGAGGAGGGGGGAGTACAATCCGCATTTTTATTCCAGCCGCTCCGGAGCAGAAGTGACCCTGCTCCCACCCGGAGCTGCGTTTGCCCGAGTCCGGCCGCCCCTACCGGGCTGCGCTTCCTGGGGGAAGTTCTCATTAAGCCTCGCTAATTAGCATTATTCCTGTGGAAGGGTTAAGGTTAGACCGTCCTTTTCCTTACGGGAGGCCCACCCCCTCCTCCCCATTCCTTGCTCCCTCCCCTCTCCCCAAGAGCACAAAAGCACAAAAAGAAAGTGTGAAGAGGCTCAGATCAATGGAGAAGCCACAAACCCATTAATTCAAATGGAACCTTTTTTTTCCCTCTAAAACATTGATTTTTCTTTCTGTCTGCTCTGAGGGGAGATGAATAACCTCCTGATTTCACCTGAAATGGTGTTTGGACTCTGTGATTTCCTCCTCTTTCTGAGAAGGATTGTGGCTTGAAATAGATTCTCCCTTGAGATAAAGCCCTACTTATCCCAGAATCAGCTGGCAACCCCAGCCTGCCCCCCCCCCAACTCACACACACCAAGCGGGGTGTGGGGAGAGGTGTTTGGGGGCCCTCATGACTCTTCTGGGGAAAGCCATCTGTGTGATGGGACTTGGCTCCTTGTCTTGACCCCTGACACCACAGGATTCTGGACTGAGGTGGTCTGGGGAAAAGGCCCATTTATGGCCCAGGCCCCAGTGGTAGTTTAGCCCCCCGGGTAGTAAATTACCCCTTCATTGGAAAGCCATTAGGGTCTAAATGTGTCCTTGAATAATATCAGGCTCCTGTCTAATCCAGGCTCAGGCTGGGCTTGCTTTGTAGAGCAGGATTTTAAGACAGCACCTCTAGAGCTGGGCGCCACCACCCCCTTCAGCCCTTTCCTGCTGCACAGTGGGAAGCAAGCTCACTGCGTAGCCTTCCTCCCAGCTGAGAAGACACCTTTGGGGAATTCCTCCTGCTGTGGCCGCTACCCTGGGGCTCTGTGGAGCTGGACGCCTGGGAGTTGCTCAAGAACTTTTTCTGTGTTGTCTGGGTTCCTTTCTTGAAAGGACAGCCCTGCAGGGGATTAGCTCACAGCGGCTCCCTTCTAGGCTTCCCTTTGGCTGCAAGATCCCTGTCTGCTGAAGCTCCTCTCTCCACCTTCACTTTAAAAAAAAAATCCGTTAATGGCAGGGTCCGGGGATACCAGCGAGCCCCCTCATGGTGAGGAATGCTGATGGGGAGCAGCCAGGTGCCTCTGCTTAGGAACAGAAGCCTGTTTTCCACTTGATACACAGTGGGAAGGTGTGGGAAATGCTCACTTTCAGCATCCAGACGTCCATGACAGCAGGGACAACAGAGGACCACATGTAGATGGGAATATGCTTCTGACAGACGCAGTGTGCGTGTGAGTGAGTGTGGGGAGAGAGAGCGAGAATGCTTCAAGTGTGGTAGGTGATTGGTTGTGTCTCAGCCCTCCCTGGCTCACATTTCCCAGAAGATCTGGTGCTTGCATGGCTAGTAAGCAGAGGGGGCCTGTGAGCAGGAAGGGGCAGAATGGTGCAGGGAGTGCTGGAAGGCTAGCCTCGGGGACCCCACACCCCCCAGGAGCTGTGGCTCAGACCACCCTCATAGTTCGTGTGTGTGGCCCCTTCACAACAAGGATTTGAACCTATGTTGCTTTAGATCCTGGGGGCTTTCTATCTTCCATTAATAAGCCATCTGATGAGCTGAAGTGGTTAGGTTGGGGTCACATGCGGTTCAGTACCTTCTTGGCATGCTCAGAAGGCTGTGTGTGTAATGCTGGCTGACATGGAGACAAGGGGGAGCGTCGCCTTGTGTGGAAGTATGTCCAGGGCCTGGAAGGAGCCTGTAGGTGCTCAGAAGGAGGTGCCCACCAGTGGGTTGAGAAGTGACTCCGATTTCACTTTGGGATGGAGCTGGGCAATCGCCTGAGCCTGGTGTTCTTCCCAGTGGGAGCTTTGGCCTCCTGTTGAGCAAGGCTGGGGCCCATATAGAGAGGGGTCTCTTTCCTGCTGGGCCCAGAAACATTCCCTGCACATCCCTGCCCCCACCCTCCTCTGAAACACACACTCAGGGCTCCTGGTTAGGGCTTATGGCTTACAATTGCACTAAATTCTCAGCAAATCCTCCTCCTCCTTTCTCGAGCAAGCTGTAGAGATAGAATTACAGCTCTCAGGAAGAGCCTGGAAAATACTGTGTGAGGCACACCCCAGGATCCCGAGTCCTGGAGGATGCAAATGGCTCAACTTCAGAGGCACCAGGAACCCAGTTCCAGAGAAATTGACCCCAGTTGTAAAATAATCAGGTTACTGATAGCACCTGCCCGTAGTTACAAGCCATGGATACAGGCCTATTTCCACCATTTCCCCACTGGTCTCCCGTTTTCTCCTCCTCCTGGGCTGGGCAGTGGTTGTGCTAGTTACCCTGCACAAGAGGAAGGGCCTCAGAAGCTGGGTGGGGAGAAACTGAACCTGCCCATGAATTTTGGACTGAAGATAAGAGCAGGGAGGGTCTGGTCAGCTCCTCTCTCCCTCTGCCCAGAGGCAGGGCTCCTAGGTTGGGGTGTGTCCCAGAGGCTGACTGGGTGCTACCCGTCTGCCTGCCTTACTCTTAAGTTCCCTTTTCAGAAGAGCATTTGGCTTTGGCTCGATTACCCTGTGACCTATGATGGCTTTGGTGCTGGAATAAATGACTGCTGGGTGGGCAAGGCCTGGGCCTCTGTCCAAGGTCAGAGGCTAGAGAAACCAAGGGTAGCTGGCCGGCTAGTCAGATGGGGACTGGGGAGAGGGAACCCAGAAGTAACGGATTGCACACACTTCTGTTTTGTAGATAGAGACAGTGTTGCCCCCGGGAGTCTTGAACTCCTGGCCTTAAGCAGTTCATTCACCTCAGCCTCCCAGAATGCTGGCATTACAGGTGTGAGCCATCTCACCCCGCCCACACTTTTATTCTCTAACAAAAGTTTTGTTGAAGTTTATTAACAGAAAGGAAGAAATTAGTAGCCCCAGTTCCTCTGAGATTTCGGAAGGGGCAAGTAAGAAGTGCACTGTACCCGCCAGGTGAGCCGGTGAGCACCTGGGGTCTCTGAGCAGGTCTGAGACCTTGGCCACTCTCAAACCTGCACCAGTGCCCCCAGCACATCCCTCGGGACTGGGTATATTTTCCCCCTTGGCACAGTCATCGTTGATAGGTTCTGAACTGTGTGTGCTGGTAACTGCCTGTGTGATTAGCCTGCTTCTCCAGCCCTGGCTTAGGGTGTGAGTGAGGGACTGGAGCGACAGTTTGCCCATCTGCGCCTGGGGGCTTATGCCCGTGAACTGGGCTGTGCTGTGACAGGCGGGTTGCAGAGGGGTCTTGTGAAGTCATCTTCTCCAGGTCAGTCCTTGAAAGTGTGAGTTTTGAAGGTGTTTGTGTAAGTCTGACCAAAACTTATTTTTGTTTGGTGTGTTTTTGAAAAGTTAGGCTTCAGAGACTTGGTTTTTCACTTAAAAAAAAATTGCTGGGCCGGGCGCTGTGGCTCACGCCTGTAATCCCAGCACTTTGGGAGGCCAAGGCGGGTGGATCACGACGTCAAGAGATCGAGACCATCCTGGTCAACATGGTGAAACCCCGTCTCTACTAAAATACAAAAAATTAGCTGGGCATGGTGGTGCGTGCCTGTAATCCCAGCTACTCAGGAGGCTGAGGCAGGAGAATTGCCTGAACCCAGGAGGTGGAGGTTGCGGTGAGCCGAGATCGCGCCATTGCACTCCAGCCTGGGTAACAAGAGCGAAACTCCGTCTCAAAAAAAAATTGCCACAGCAACCATGTGTAGCAGCTTCCAGCATTTTGGGAGACCCAGGCAGGGAGATCACTTGAGCTCAGGAGTTCGAGACCAGTCTCTACAAAAAATAAAAAGTTAGCCAGGTCCTGGTGGTATATGCCTGTAATCCCAGCTCCTCGGGAGGCTGAGGCGGGAGCCCGGGAGCTCAAGGCTGCAGTGAGCCATGATTGCACCACTGTACTCCAACCTGTGTGACAGTAAGAGCCTGTCTTTAAAAAAAGCCAAGCCATAGCAGTCAAGGTGTCAGAATCTTAGAACCACTTTTCACAAAACTGGGGCTCACGTGGCAGAGCCCTGGAGACTGGGGGAAATAAATCTCCCTAGGGAGCTGGGGAGAGAACGACCATCATTAGGTGATGAGCAGTGTGTTCCACAGTTTCTCCCAACTGCACCCAGAGTTGGTTCAGAATTTTTCCTGGTCCCTTTTCCTAGCTAACAAGGCCTGGGGTGAAGGAAGCCTGCCATAATTAACTATGTCCCTAGCACAGTGCCAGCACATAGTAGATGCTCAATAAGTATGCATCAGCTCATTAAAGAAAGTGAGCGTGTGTGTGTGTGTGTGTGTGTGTGTGTGTGTGAGAGAGAGAGAGAGAGAGAGAGAGAATGAATGAATGAATGACTATATAGCCTCATCGCCCATGAGTTCCCTCTGGGCCTCATCTTGAGACACTTGGTCGTTAAGGAATCTGGTTCCTCCCATTGAACGGAGGAAATTTGGCGAGGTGGCCTGTGATGTGGTGACACTGTGATACAGGCTCTGAGCACAGACTGCCTGGGTCCACACACCAGCTGTGCTGCTGGCTTCATGCCCCTGGGCAGTTGGGGCAGGCTGGGTGGGCCTCCCAGGTGCGGTTATCAGAGCTGGGGCTAGGCCCGATGTGGGTGCCTATGCAGTAGGGCCTTGGGAGGAAATTTCATAAAACCCTTAGCCTGAAGCCCTGAGCCTGGGGGTACTGGATGCTCCTTGTAATCAGGTGATTTTGATGCCAGGTAAGGCACAGCCCACCTTTTCCCAGTGGGACGCATCAAGGAAGCAAGGGGTGGAGGGGGCATTTGGCGGAACAGTTCAGTGATGTGAGCCGGAGAAGCGCTGGCTGTGTATGGGGTGGCTGGCAGCTGCAGGAAGGAGACGTTTCGGGGCAGCAGGCCACCACCAGCCCGTCACCAGCCCACCAGCCTGCATCCCGGTCTCATGTGCCCTCCATTCAAGAACTGTGTGCAGTGGGACCAGAGTCCTTAATCTTCAAATTAATGTAGCGTCCTCATTAAACACCAACACCACGCCAGGCAATTCAGTGGGTTCAACAAATCTCACTGCCTTGTGTGGTATTCAGAGAACATACAGGCTGGTCCCCACTGTTGGACCTAAGGTTTTCTAGGGAAAGACAGGGCAGAGATCCACAAGACAGTGACAGCTGGATACAGCTTGGAATTGGGATTGTGGCTCACAGCAGCAGTGTGGGTTCTAGGCGAGGGCCAGCTTGGTTAGGAGGGCGTGTCCAATCTTTGGTGATTGCACAGATCTGGCTGTGCCTTATGTTAGCTTGTGACCTTGGGCAAGCACCTTAACCTCGTGGAGCCTCGGTTTCCTCATCTGTGGAGCGGGGCTGGTAATTTTACCTACCTGATGGGCCTGTAGTGAAGGTGAAATGCCACAAGCCTAGGGGAGTGCTGGGTCCCTGAGAAGCTTTGCCTTCTGTTGTTACGGTTTTGAACTTGGCTGAGTGAGGCCAGAGTGTGCAATCGGTCCCTGACGCTCCAGCCCCATGTCTTGAGTGGAGTTCAAGAGCCTTTCTCCGAGCTGGAGACGGGCACGGATGGCCCTGCCAGGGTTACGTGGACTGTGGGAGGGGACATATGGCTCCTCTGCCCCTATGTGCCCGCCCTTGCCTATCCACAGCGGCCTTCTCACCGCTCCTCAGACTCAGCAGCTTGTGCCCCGCTTGTTGCTACCTGTGCCTGAAACGGGCACGAGCCGCACAGACCTCACGGGTTCCCCACCTCACTCCTCTGCTCCAGTGCTTCTGACCCTCAGTGTCTTGGGCTGCCCTGGCAAACAGGTCCCTCTGCCCTCTGGCCCCACTTCTGTGTGCTTTGTGGCCCTCGTTGCTGCTGCCGACCGTCAGTGTTTTTCTGCTCATTGTCATCTCCCTCCTGGAGGGTGAGTGCCAGGCAGGCCAGGAGAGCTTCCCAGCACCTAGAGGGGAGCTTGGCCCATTGCAGGTGCTCAGCAAATACCTGTCCAATGGATGGATGGGGAGTTTGGAGTAGGTGGCACTTGCAGAGGTAACTAGCATGCCCTGGCTTTGAAGTCATGAGCATTTGAACAATACCCAGGAGTGTTCCTCCGTCAGCTGTGACTTCAGGTCAAACTCTGAGCATGGCACCCCCTGGGCATCCAGGAAGTAGCAAGGGGCCCATGCAAGATGCCCTGTTCCTGGTTCCCGGAGCCTGCACGGCAGGATCAGCTGGGAAGATGGGGAGCCACTTGTCCCTTGCAGTCTTGCTTAGGGCTCCAAGGAACCTTCCAGCCTGCCAGCCTCTCTTCTCCAGCCCCCTCCTCTCCTTCTATACAGTTAGCACAGGGGAGAGTTTTGTTGTCCCTTTGTACCCTTTGTGCAGAGAGAGCCTTTTGAACGTGTGTGTGTGTCCCTCTGGGTGTGTGAGTTTTCACGAAGGAGGGCTGTGGGTGGAGGTGCTTGTGTTCATGGAGCAGGCAGCCCGTGAGAGGAAGGCAGAGCCAGTGTGTGTGCCTGTGTGTGGGGAGAGGACACCAGAGGACACGTGGGCTCTGTCCATCCCCCGAGGCCCTGGGTGTGCCTCGTGGGGACCATGGGCGTCACAGCCTAGCTCCTGTCCTCTGGATTCTGCAGAGGGTCCACACTGGTGCTACACAGAAGCTATTAAATTCCGGGAAACTCCCTACCAGCCCAGCCAGTGGGGGAGGGAGTGGAGGCGAATCCACACTGCTCCCTAGCACTTGGAGCAGATGTGTCTGCCTCAGGGACAGCAACCTAAGAAAGTTCCAACCAGCGTGTGTCTGCTCACAAAAGAGGTGCCTTCGAGGGGACCCGGAGGGAGGCTTGGGGGGTGCTCTGCCAGAGGTCCTCACTGGGGGCTCACAAAGGCCATTGTGTCTTGCTGGGGGGAGGCCAGAACTCTGGGTGTGGGAGCTGCTGGGTCATCTTTCTTGGTTTTATGGCCAGCTCCCAGGCACAGTTGCTTGCTGCTCCTGAAAGGCTGGGCTGGGAGGAGGTGGGGGCCCTTCCTGCTGGAGGGCTGGGTTGAAGGGGCCCCACCCCAGGGGTTCCCGGATGACTGGCCAAGGGCTGGCTGAAGCCAGCAGCGAGGGGAGAGGAGGCCGGCGTGGTCCTCTATAGCAGGCCATCCGGCTGTTTGGAAGGCCCTGGCGGCCCCCCAGGCCCTTGAGCTGAACCCCTTTTGCGGTCTGGTCCGAACCCTGGCCCGCCCCGCCCCGCCCCCTTCCTTCTCTGCACTTCTGGGGCTGGCCCTTTCAGCCCTGGAAGCTGCCCAAGAGCATATCTTTGAAGCACAGCAAAGGTTAGGAAGGAGGAAGACAGAAATGTCCTCTGGGCTGGGGGAGTGGGAGAAAGGAATTCCATGCATGCTTCATGGGAGTCAGGGCTCCGGGCCTGCTGGGGGCACTCGGCTCAGCCTCAGTGCCCGGTGGCCAGCATGTCCTGCCACCCGCCTCTTGCCACCCAGTCCTGTGCAGAGTGAGCCCTGGACCCTGGGCTGGGAGCAGGGAGCGGCAGCCCTTGTTTACAGTGCCGGTTTCAACCTTGGCTCACAAGGGTAAGAACCAGGCCCTGCCATCCGCCCCTGCAGGATGCGAGACCTCATAATTGTCTTCAATTACAGACAGCGCCGGCCCTCAGCCTTGGTTTCCGACAGGAACCAGAGCCAGGGCCACTTCCACCGGGCCGGGGGAGCACCCCCTCCCAGCCCTCACTTCAAGGTTTGAGGGCTCCTTGTGGTCTTCAGGGCACTCCCAAATGCCCACTGGCCCTAGGGTCCACCCACAAGGCCGCCTTGGGCTGATGAGAGCCCGCTCCTGCTGAATGCCTGCCTTCTTTGTCCCCGCTCAGGATGAGACTTCTGTGAGCAGCGAGGATTTTGATATGAGCGAGTCCACATGGATGTCAGCTGACCCGCACCTGGCCTCCAGCCTGAGCCCCAGCCAGGACGAGAGGATGCGGAGCCCGCAGAACCTCCACAGTCAAGAGGACGGTGAGTGCCCCTCAGTAGCAGTTGGGGAGGGGCTGTGCCTGGCCCCTGCTCCCAGTTGTCCTCAGGTGAGAGGTGTGGACACACTCCAGGGTGGTGGCATCTGGGCCAAGGCCTTGGGGTGGCCCAGGCCCGAGTTGGCAGTTGCCCTGCGTTCTCAGCATCTCCGAGGGCTACACTGCCCCAGCCCCTGGCTCCTTCCTCCCAAAGATGACAGAGAGAGCCCATGGGACTGGCAGCCTGTGGGGCAAGGGGTCTGTCTGGTTGCCGGGTTGCGATGGGCTTCTGCGATGTGGGTTTCGGAGTTACCAAGGGCGGGCCTGGGAAGGTTCACCATGTAGTTCACACAAAGCAGTTCTGCTGGCCAGCAAGAGAAACTAGAGCTGTGTGTCTGCAGCTGCATGTGAGGCTATAACCTGGGTCACCTGGTGAGTGACCAGGCAGTGCAGCTGTCCACATGCGTCCCAGCCCCTTGGGATGCGATGCAGCTGGCTGGGGAGCTGTCTGGATTCTTCCCTAGCCCCCGCGAGCCCGGAGCCTGCCAGGCAGCCTGCTCCGGCCTCCCTTGGAATAGAGATCTCGGGGGTTGGAGAGTTAGGGTCAGGAGTCAGACCCCAGAGATCCTCCCAGGCTCCACGTGGACTCCCCCAGGTGGTTGGGCTCTGGGTCCCTGGCATCTGCCCTGGTGTGCCAGGGTTGCCAGGTGGCCCTGTGAACACAGCACTCCTGGCATTGCCTTTGTTTCCGAGGAGGAGATGGTTGGGGGCAGGGGATGCGTGAGCTGGGCACTCGAGAACTGGGGTGTAGGAGCCGGAGCTGGCAATTAGGAGGGGTTGAAGGTCGAGGCCTGGAATGTGGGAGGGAGGTGCGGGTTAAAAAGGGGTGTAATGTTAACTCTGTGAAACGGGTCAGTCTTAAAGAGTAAATAAGGGGTAGGAGCCTTGCCGTTTGGGTCAAAGTTCGTCTCCATGGAAGAACCTGTGCGCCTGCCTCCCCGTGGCCCTCTTAGGCCTGAATCCAGCTTTGTCTGGGAGGGGACCTAGTCTGGAGGCAGTTGGAGGTGTCTGGGCAAGGGGCTGGGGAGCCCAGGGAGTGGCTGTGTGAGGAGTGGGGTGCGAGTCTGCTGGCAAAGAAAAGGCTTTTGTGCCTGATGCCTCGTGAGGTCGGCGCGACCCCCTCGTGCTGCCAGCCTCCCGGGCCAGTGCTGCCTTCCAGCGTTCCCATGGGGGCGGGGACCCGGTGGGAGTGGCCACGTGCTCTGGGGGGCTCTGGGACTGGGACAAGCGCAGCAGCTGATGTCTGGCCTCCAGGGAGCCAGTTGAGGCTGCTCCCAAGCCACACTGAGGGCTGTTCCTGCAGAGGTCAGCCGGGGCCGTGGGCTGTGCTCAGCTAAGAAGGGTCTGGGACAGTTGTTCAGAAACCCAGAGCAGTGGGGCTGGCAGGGCCGGGGTCCCCCTCCTCATTCCTGAACAGATCTCGTGCTGTTATTCCTCACGTCCACCCTTTCGGGAGGACTGGAGATTTGGAGGCCATCAGGATCAGGTAGCAGACTGCGGCATTTCTGTGGGGTCCATAGGGCTCCCTCAGCTCCTGCTGCCTGGAGGCTAGCTGGCCGTGAAGACAAGGCTGAGAGATGCAGAGAGGCTGCTGGGGTCCGTAGGTCCCCAGAGCCCAGTGCGGGTCTGCCTGGGGGTAGTCACTCACCGCCTTTCGTTCCTGGTGGCATCAGAGCTGGGACAGGGAAGATGGTGCTGACCGTGATGCCTGGGCCTCACTCTCCACTCCGAGGCTGTGTCGTGGGGTTGTGGGCTATCCCGCTGGCCAACTGAGACCCTGGGCAGGGCATAGGCCTGGGGAAGCCCCAGGCAGCTGGCCCGGCCTCTGCTGACCCTTTTGGGCCCATGGGCCTGTTGGTATCTGTCCAGAGCAGTGGATTTCTGACCTGGAGTCCCGGGCCATCTTCCAGCCCCCATGTTGACACACAGTCAGCCCCTCTTGAAGGCACTCATGGTGCAGGCATGAGCTGAGGTCCAGCTCCCATGAGTAAGTCAAGGGGAGCCCATCAGGGCACTCTCAGGCCCATTATTGATGCAGGACTGGGTGGGGACAGCCCAAGCAGGGGCACCTGTCCTAACTCTCTGTGCACTCCACTCCCCACCCGAGGGTCTCCATTGCAGAAGCCCCCCAACCTGACTTATGCCCAGGTGGGCTTAGTGTGTGGCCTCTGGCCCTCAGTCCTCCATGGGCATCTGAGGCCTGCTGTGAGGTCAGTCTTAGTCTCTGCCCTGCCCCTGTGACTCTGTTGTGAACCTGGCCCATTGTCGATGCCTGCTGAATGACTGTTAGCCCCAAATGAACAAGCATTTACTGGGACCTACCCAAACACACCATTGCAGAGCAGATGTAGTCCCACCTCTGATGGGTATAAGCTGGCCTGTTTGCTTCTGGGGACATCCTTCCCATCCAAGCACCTAGGCCTTTTTTCTTTGCCGGAAGTGTGGGGACTCCCAAGGCTGTGCCGATGACACACCTGTGTTAGTCTGTTTGGTGTTGCTACAAAGAAATACCTGAGGCTGTGTAATGTATAAAGAAAAGAGGTTTATTTGGTTCACAGTTCCACAGGCTGTATAGGCATGGCACTAGCATCTGCTTGGCTCCTGGGGAGGCCTCAGGAAGCTTACAGTCATGGCAGAAGGTGAAGGGGGAGCAGGCACGTCTCATGGTGAGAGACGGAGAGAGAGAGAGGGAGAGAGAGAGAGAGGGAGAGAGAGAGAGAGGAGTGTGTGTGTGTGTGTGTGAGAGAGAGGGAGAGAGAAAGAGACAGTGTGAGTGTGGGGGCAAGAAATACCAGGCTCTTTTAAACAACCAGCTTTCCCGTGAACTCATAGTGAGAACTCACTCCATACAGCACCGAGCCACTCGAGGAATCTGCCCCCATGACCCAGATGCCTCTCACCAGGCCCACTTTCAACCCTGGAGGTCACATTTCAACATGAGATTTGGAGGGGACCCACATCCCAGCCCTATCAGCACCACATCCCTGCTGACGAGCGATGCAGCTGGGAGTGATTTCAGAAGCTAGGTGGTTGGCATCTGTGGATTAGCTGGGGTCCTTTTTTTTTTTTTTTTTTTTGAGACAGAGTCTCACTCTGTCACCAGGCTGGAGTGCAGTGGCATGATTTTGGCTCACTGCAACTGCCTCCCAGGTTCAAGCGATTCTCTGCCTCAGCCTCCTGAGTAGGTGGGATTATAGGCACCCACCACCACGCCAGGCTAATTTTTGTATTTTAGTAGAGACAAGGTTTCACCATCGTGGCCAGGCTGGTTTTGAACTCCTGACCTTGTGATCCACCCACCTTGGCCTCCGAAAGTGCTGAGATTATAGGCATGAGCCACTGAGCCCGGCAGGACCCTTCTTTAAAAATTTGCACAAAGGTAGATGAAGGCTGAGTGGCAGAGCAATCCTATGGCCGAGACCGCTGAGCCTGAGAGTGAGTTGCGGGCATGCCCATTCTCACTCCCCGAGGAGCTTGTCTCTGAGGTTCTTACCGAGGTGAGTATCTGCTTGTCCTGAAACACAGTTAGGCGTCTGCCGCCAACCCTGCCACTGCCTGCCCTGCGAGTCTTGCTCTCCTAGACCTCTTTTCAGCAGTTCCCTACACTCTGAAGTGCTGGGATGCGCCTGGGTCCCTGTGATCACAGCCACTAATGCTTGACAGTGAATGCCACTCACAGTGCCCTCATCTCATGGGGAGGAAGCTGGGTCAGGGAGAGACTTTGGGCAACTCGGCCAGAGTGGGGAGGTGCCAGTGCTTCTCCCTCGCCTTTGCCAGGTGTAGGGGCCATGTGTGAGGGTCCCCATAAGATGGGCTGGGGAGCTAGGGAACCAAACAAGGCTCTCCCCAGACACTTGGGGTGCTCCCTCCTTGGGGCCCAGGGCAGTGTGGGCCAGCTCCTGCCAGTTTCCTGTCCAGGCACGATCCAGGTCCCCCTGCAAACCCTCGGCTGAGCCCTGGCTGAGGCTTGGGTTTTCTTTGGGTCTGAACAGGGCTCTCTGCACATCATAGGATATGGAGGGAGGATGCCTGGGAGAAGCCAACTCTAGGCTTTGTCCGGAGACGCTGTGGTCTGAGTCTTGGGGCCAAATAGCACATCCATCTGAAATGACACCCCCACCTGTGGGATGATCTGTTTGATACAGTCTCCTCCCCGAGCACTGTAAGCAACCTGAGAGCCAGCACCCAGCACAGGGCATGGCACCACACAAGTGCTGGGGCAGTGTTTGCTGAATGAATGAGTGGACGAAATGAAAGAAGGCGCGCACAAAGGCAGGTGAGCCAGCGCGCCTCCTGCAGGCCGGGGCTGGCCGCAGGTCCTGACCTGGCAGGCGGGGCCGCTCCTTCCGTTTCCCCTGGATGTGCTTCAGCAGGCCTTTCACTCTGCCCCTTCCTGAGCGGAAAATGTGAGGCCCGCCTGGCCTCCAGAAGGGATGTGTGGGGGCAGGGAGCGGACATTACTCACCTCTTGGGCAGACAGGAAGCCAGCGCCAGGGGAGAGCAGGGTCCGCTCGCTGGGCCTGGTTCCACCTTCTGCAGGGTAGGCAGTCGGGGGGTTGCTGAGCAAGAGTCATACGGAGCCCTGGGGCAGGTCAGGGCCTGGTGTGTGCGCCTCTCAGATGAGGCCGAGCCTCTGGAGCTGCCCTCCATCCAGGCTTCCCTCTGCACACCAGGAGGTCTGGGGCTCCCGCGTGGTGCACCTGAGGCTGGACAAAGGCACTGAGGGTCCTTTGGCTCTTCCAGGTTCTTGGTTGCTTTAGTCACACCAGCACTGGGCATTGTGACATGCAAGGGTGATGAGCCCTGTCCCCACTTCCCTGGAGGGTATAGGGTTTGGTTGAAGCCAGACAGGCACACAGTGTGGGACCCCTGCGGGCTGTCAGCTTGCTGAGGGCAGGAGCTGCATCTTTGTAGAAATGTCCCTTATTGCTGGGCGCGGTGGCTTAC